GCTCACTCTCTGACACGTTTATTCCACAGGAAACCCAAGTAGCCCACCTGGTGGAGGCTGGGTTCAAGAAAGAGAACATCCGCACCAGTGTCATGGATCTCGTCCCTCCAGCTGACTGTAGATATTACTCCTTCCCCAAGATGATCACGCCCACACTCACCAAGTAGATGGCAGTCCCAAGGGGAAAACAGAAGAGAAACACATGGAGGTGATGGTCAAGTTCACAACTACTAAAAACCACTGAGGCATAAATCTCTCTCCCCCAGAGACTGGAGTTGGTATGTAAACAGAGTCTTTTAACAACAAATGAGCCATTCTTTCATAAAGAAAAAATTATCTTTTGACACATTTTCCAATATTGTGTCGTCTTGTCTTTTTTCTCTCTGCTGAACCATTCATCATTGCAATTCAGCTACAGGCAGTTTCTTGAACAGCCCAAGCTGCCTCACATCTGTGTCAGACTGCCAAAACTTGATCACAATCTCAGCATCCACAACTGGTGTCCTGTCTTAATAGCAATGGTTCTTAACTTTTCATCCTCTGCACGTTTTGGATTTGAATTCCCAGAAGCTATAAGGAACATGGCTAATGGGGTAAGGAATCATGGGAGCTGATGTCCATTACATCTGAAAGGTCAAAGGTTGAAAACCACTGCTCTGCAATATGTGGGGAGGTTGTTTTTCCTCCAAATGTTGAACTGTGGGCCTAAGCAGACTGCCAGAAATAGTGCACATTAAATTGAGGCATTGCCCTGCCTCAGTGCTAGGGAATCATGGGAACTGTAATTTATTGTGGCACCAGAGCTCTCTGACAGAGAAGGCTCAATGTCTCAGAAAATAATACAATTCCCATGACTCCCTAGCACTGAGCCAGGGCAGTGCCTCAATTTAATGTGCACTATTTCTGGCAGTCTGCTTAGGCCTTATGTCTCCCATAAGCTGTGCCAAGCATGGCTAATAATCAGGGATGATAGGAGATGCAATTTATAGAGTAACTGAGCCAGCACACTAAATTTGGACTGTGTCTCCTATCATCCTCCCACGAGGGTGTTCCCCCCTCCAATGATTTCCAAGACATTCTCAGAAGAATGAGAGGGAAGTGAAGCCGCAAACCCAAATATTATATACATACATTTGCAAAGTTTATTGGGAAAGCTTTGTGCAAAATGATTCAAAATGTGCGCAGAAGATACAGGCAGGGTCCACCCCTGTTCAACTTCACAGGGGTTATGCTAACAGTTGCCTCGCTATTTCCGGTACCAGATCTGAAGTCTTTTTTCCCGTTTGATCTTCCTCTGGAGTTGCAAAATCCCATAGAGAAGAGCTTCAGCAGTAGGAGGGCAACCTGAAGAAGGAAAAATGGGTCATCATGAAGCTGGGGAAGAGCAAACAGAGTGTGGAAAAGTCTTTTGGAATACAGTTCCTTAGTTGTAAAACTAACTTCTCCAAACCCTAAGAGTGTGGAGAAGGGAAGAACCTACTGATAGAACCCAAAACAGAAGTGATGAAATGCAGGGGGTGAGACCAGTTTCCTCCCCACAAGCCCAGATATTGCAATTTTCCTATGCAGTCCCCTCTCAAAATGATCTGTCACAGTTCTGTGGCACCTTAAGGATTTGGGATATTGTTGCACTTTCACAAGTTGGTGAAAGCATGCTGACTTATGGGATACATCCTCCACTGGCAACTCACTTGCATTTGGTACTGGGCAAACACAAAAGGGGGACAGAATGCCCTGGATTTCCTCCTAGGCTGGCTTAGCCCTAATACAGATATATATATGGCCACTGCCACCCAACCAGGCAAGTGTTGAAATGCAGGACACTGTGCTTTTGAATATATATTAGGAGAATTAAACCCAAGAAATAAAACAGGAACAGATGACTCTATGCCACCTGATATTGCTGGATCCCCAACTCCCAGCATCCCTGACCATCTGTCATGTGTGCAGGGGATGACTGGAACTGGAATCCCAGGATATCCTGACAGCCACATGTTGTTCAATCCCTTTAGGCTGTAGCCAAACCCCACTTATCAGTTTTGTTTTGTTCTATACCTGGTACATAGATGTCCACAGGCACAATTCGGTCACAGCCCCTCACAACAGAATATGAATAATGGTAGTAGCCACCGCCATTGGCACAGCTGGAAAGAAATGGAGGGGGAAAGTCATATTTTTGTTGTGCTTGGTTTTAAAAGTCACACTTTGCAAAAGAAAAGGGTATATGCCTCTTCCAATCACATGCAGCCCCAGTGTGCTACAACCACCATCTTTCAGTCACATGGGAATTGTAGTCCAGCACAAGCAAGGAGGCCCTGGTGCAAAATAGCAGATAATATGTTGTGTTTCTCACTAATTCTCCATGCTCAAAAGCACTTTGCCTATGTTAGGAAGCATTGACTGGGCAAGGTCAAGACTTGCACCTCTCGATAGTCCAATGATCCAGAACTTGGAAATGCTCCTTTTTTGGGACTACAGCTCCCAAACCCACCCACCAACCACCTTTGTTTTATTCAAGATTTTGGAAAAATAAAACCTAGGAAAACAGTTTTGACACTGAAGTGCTCCATGAAGCTGTTTTCAAAGCACTTTAATTAAGGCCTAAATACTATGATGGGACCAGATCTCATTAGATCTTGGAGTATGTAGGATCAGCCCTGGTTAGTAGTTGGCTGAGGGACCAGCAAAGAATACTAGCTGTTGTAAGCTGTATTTCAAAGGAAGGAGCTGGCAAAACCATCTCTGAGGATTCCTTGCCTAAGAAAACCCCATGAAACTCATAGGTTGGCCATAAATGGCACGCAGACACACTCTCCCAGTTATGTTCAGGGCTTTGTAGTACTGAGTGGTGGCAGCAACACCAGCAAAGTGTCAAAGAGACAAACCAGAAAATCTAAAAGGAAAGGACAAAAAGGGGATATCAAAGACAGACACAATTGTGGGCATCAACATGTTAATTTTTTACCTTCCCATGGACACGACGTAACGTGGCTCAGGCATCTGGTCATAGACCTGCCAAGACAGAAAACATGACAGTCTAGAGCAGTGAAGGTTCCCTGTTGTCCCTCTTTCTGTTGCCCCACCAATCTCTTTTCACTAAACAGGAAGTTTAAAAAGGACCAAGTTTGGGGAATGGCTCATAGAATCATGCAATCTTAGACCTGAAAAGGGGATCCCAAGTCCAACCAATCCACAACTATAAAACACTCATGAAAGATGACTACCCAACCTCTATTTCAAGACCTCCAAAGAAAGAGACTCCATCACTCTCTGAAGCAGTCTATTCCATGATCTTACAAGTATGCAAAGAGATCTTTGAGACTAACTGAAAGAAAGAAGTTGGTTGTATGAGCTTCCATAGGCTTGAGCTTACATCCTCAGATGCATTTGGAAGTAGGCTCAAATTTATGAAAGCTCATGCTACCAACTTCCTTCTTTCAGTTAGTCCCAAAGGTGCTACAAGATCCCTTTGCATAATGATTTTCCAGACTAACATGGCTATGAATTTAACAGTAAAGAAGTTGTGAAGTCAAAAGCTTTCACAGTCGGCATCCATAGGTTTTTGTGGGTCTTTCAAGCTGTGAGGCTGTGTTCTAGAAGAATGTATTCCATGAATACATTCTTCTAAAATAAGGCCTCACAGCCCCTAAACCCCCACAAAAACGTATAGTAAAGAAGCGCTTCCTAATGTTTAGGAGGAATCTCTTCTCTAGTAATGTGAATTCACTGGTTTGTACTCTGAAGCAGCGGGAAACATGTTTGTACCATCTTCTAACATCCTTTCAGATATTTAAAAATGGCTATAATGTCATCCCTCAGTCTTTTCTCCTAACTAAACACACAATGCTTCCAGAGAAGGCTTGTTTTCCAAACCTTTGACCATCTCGTTCACCCTCCTCTGGAGATGTTCCAGCCTGTCAATATCCTTCTCGAACTGTGGTGACCAGAACTGGATGTAGGATCCCAGGCGAGGTCTGACCAAAGCAGTAGCACTACTACTTCCCTCAGTCTGGACACTATATGCCTATAAGTGTAGCCTAGTTGGCTACCACATCACACTGTTGACTCATGTTCAGCTGCCAGTCTACTAAGACCTCGAGATCCTTTTTGCGTGCATTGCTTTCACATCAGCTGCCACACATCCTATATTTATGCTAACTCGTACCTTCCGGAGGGCAGGGGCCATCTTGTTGGTCAAGGTGCCTGCCACGATCATAACGTCGGCTTGGCGGGGACTGGCTCGGAAGACCACACCAAAGCGGTCCATGTCATAGCGCGGAGCGGCCATGTGCATCATCTCTACAGCGCAACAGGCCAGGCCAAAGGTCATGGGCCACAAGGAACTCTGGAGGGGGAAGCACAGGAACAAGTGTTCTCCAGTATTCCTTAATTTATACCCTTTCTTCCCTCTCCAAAGGATCTTACAAGATAAAAAAGAAATAGCAGTGAAAATATGTGTAGCTAAAAACACACCGTACATATTTTAGTGGTGTATTCTTACATGGCAGGGATTGGATTAGAATTCAGGGGTAGGCAACCTTTCCCCTTTAAGGGCCGAGGGACTTCAGCTCCCAGAATCCCAGGAGCTATTGGCCAACATGGGACTATTGGCCAACATGGCTGAGGCTTCTGGGAGCTGAAGTCCCTTGGCACTTAAAGGGGAAAGGTTGCCTACCCCTGGATTAGATAATAAGATGGCCTTTATGGTTCCTTCCAACTCTGATTCAAAGAATATCAGTCTTTGAGATATTTGGAGAGGACTACTATATCATTCTTCTAAAAATGTGGCACTCAAGAATGTCCCTAAAATTGAATTTGGCCAACAAAAGTTCCCCATTCTTGATCAATGACATTGCAGGTCTTTCTCAGGAAAGGATTTTAAAAGTTTTGTTGTTGCCTTCAAGTCATTTCCAACTAATGGAGACCCTGTCATGGGGTTTTCTTGGTAAGACTTGTTCAAAGGGAGCTTGCCACCTCTGCTTTCCACCAGTGAGTTCCCATAGCTGACCAGGGATTTGAACCCTGGCCTTCTGGAGTCCTAGGCCAGCACTGAAACCACTACACCATGCTGCCTCTTAAAGGGTTTATCTCGGTCTCTTGAAAGGTTTGCCACTGAGGCAGAAAGAGTGTGATGTGACCAAGGCCACCCAGTGGGTTTCCACAGCAGGGCAAGGATTCAAACCCTGGTTTCCCAGTGACCTGGACCAACACTCAAACCACTACACCACGCTGTCTCTTTTTGCAAAAAGATAAACCTGTGGTGGGAGCAGAAGAGCCTCTTCTCCCTGAAACTCACCCGACGAACCCAATTAATCAAGTCATCCAGCTTGGTGACAACGTATTCTCCTCGACTGTTGGGGACAAGAGGCTTCCTCTGAACCATTGCGGTTCTCTTTGGCTGAACAGCAGCAGGACTGCGGAGAAACAGTACCAGTGAAAAGAAGTCCTTGGCCAACAGACAGAGCTAAAGCACCTGTAATGTTCTATCTCATCAGTAAAACCCAGCTGGAACAAGCCCTTCTTCTCCCAAAAAAGTCTACCTGGTACAGCATTCTGGTTTCCCTTTGAGACTATCAGTTCCTTCTGGAGCATTTGCAAGCATTTACACAGATCCTGATGATCTCAGAGTCCGGGCCAGTTCATACAGGGAGATAGGATTTGCCAAATAGCTTGGAGCAGAGCCATATAGGGCTTTATAGGTCATAACCAGCCCTTTGAATTATGTCCAGAAACAAACAACAACAACAACAACAATATAATGGGCTCTTGGTATCTACTAGAGTTTTGTTCCAGGACCCCCCTTGGATACCAAAATCTGTGGATGCTCATGTCTCATTAAATACAATGGAGAGTAATATTGTGTTCCTTATATAAAATGACAAAATCAAGGTTTCTTTATAATTTCCCCCCATATTTTCAAACCATGGATGCTTGAATCAGTGGATATAAAATCTGTGGGTTCAGAGGGCTGACAGTAATGGAAACCAGGGCACTGGATGGCCAATGCTAAAAATCATTAAATGAATATCGGCACTTAAAAACATTGTGTTGAGGAATTTGGGTGGGAGAAAATTGCAAGGGCCACACTTTGTCCATCCCTGATGTAGGGGAAATGATACATGATTTTTGAACTACAACTGCCATCAGCCTGGCCAACAGTCAGGGATGATGGGAGCAGTTGGATCTGGAGCATTCTAGAGGATGCTCTGTTATGCTCATGTTAAGGAAAGCTGCTACAATCCTGACTTCAGGTGTGGGGAACCTTGGGGATGGACCCGGACCACCAGGGAGGGGCTGAAAAGTATTAACCCCCCCCCCTTGTACTACTTCCCCCCTGGCACTCAAAACCTTCCCTCTGCACACCCTTCCATCCCTACCCTCTGATTTAGGAGGCCTGGTTGCCCATAAAGAAAAGATTTGGGACTACCTCTCCGCATTGTCAATGGTGGGCGTCTGGTGGACTGAAAGAGCAGTCGACGTTGTGACCGGCCTGTTCAAAGAAAGAAAAGTCAATCCTCATGGTTGTCCAGAAGAACACCCAGCTTCCCTGCCAACCCCATGTCTACCCATAGGAGACACTCAGGGGACAGAAACTGCAAACTGCCTTTTGTCCAGACTGTCACTTTCCTATGGGTGTTGAGTCAATGCCAATTTCTCCATTAATCCTTTGCAACAAGGAGATGGAAAGCTGTGGGAGGGGGTGCACTTACCTCAAAAGAAGCCAGCCACGTGGGGCCATGCGAGAAACTGGAAGGAAACCAGAAAAAGAGGAAAAATTAGAAAACGTTGGATGTCCAGCTGCTAAGGGGCCCAAGGGCAAGGAATTATAGAGCTATCAACTGATTCCCACCCATTGAGAGCTGGCCAATGCAAGCAAACTGGAGTTGGAAGGGACCCCAAAGGCCATCCATTTTAACCTCATTCTGCCATGCAGGAACCCACAATCCAACCACCCCCAATCCAGCCCCTGTTTAAAGACCTCCAAAGAAGGAGAGTCCAGCACTTTCCAAAGGAGTGTCTACTGTTGAACAGCTATTACTGTCAGGAAGTTCCTTCTAATATTGAGGTGGAATCTTTTTTTCTGTAGTTTGAATCCATTGCTCTGGGTCCTATTCTCTGGAGCAGCAGAAAACAGCTCCATATCTGCATATCCATATATGTAGATATACAGTGGTCCCTTCACATTTGCTGGGGTTAGGAGTGAAGTACTCCCATGAATGTGGAAAAACTGCAAATAAAAAACCCTATACTTTTTACCTAAGGGAGCACCTCTTTAGGAATCTTTAGTACAACTCTATGGTCAACATCTGTCAGAGGTTAATCATAAAGTCTTGCTGGAAGACCGCCAAATGCCTAGAGAAGTGTCTTCTCTAAGAACTTCTTGGTCTTCCAGCACAACTCTATGGTCAACTTCTGGCACAGTTGCATTGGAGGACCTAGAGATTCCTAAAGCGAACATATGAATCAAAACCGTAAACAATCAAATCCACAAAAGTCAAAGCTGTAAATGTGGAGGGGCAACTGTACATACTTCTTGTTGTTGTGTGCCTTCAAGTCATTCCCAACATATGACGACCCTAAGGGGCTTTCTTGGCAAGCTTCTCCTGAGGGGGTTTGCCTTTGCCCTCCTCTGAGGCTGAGAGAGTGTGACTTGCACAAGGTCACCCAATGGGTTGACATGACCGAGCTGAGATTCAAACCCTGGTCTCCAGAGTCACAGAATCATAGAGTGGGAAGAGACCCCATAGTCCAACACTCAAGCCACTTACATAATATGGTATTTTCCATAATGCAATACATTACAATGTAAAATATATGTTGTACAATGTTCCAGACTATTGTGGCTATACCTTTGAACTTTAAATTGTGCCACCACCCTGTGGAGGGGAAAGGCAGGATGCAAATGTTGCAAAAGATAGAAATAGTAATAGAATAATAATTAAAAAGATAAATGTATCCCCTGTTGACAAGGTTGTCAAGTCATGTCTGACCATTGGGGGCGATGCTCATCTCCATTACTAAACTGTGATCATGTGGCCAGCATGACTGCACAGAACGCTGTTTATCTTCCTATCGAAGTGGTACCTATTTATCTATCTGCATTTGCATGCTTTCAAACTGCTAGGTTGGCAAAAGCTGGGATTAGTGATGGGAGTTCACCCCATCATGCAACACCTGAGCCTCAAACTTTAATTTCATAATATATTTAATAATAATAATAATAAATAATAATAATAAATAATGAATAATAATATATAATTATTTAATAATAATAATAAAATGAAACAGTTGTTTATTATTATTATTATTATATTTGTATCCCACCCATCTGTCAAGCAAAATTAAATAATGACAATAATAATATATAGAGGATAGTGTTGAGGGATCTGGTCTGGAGCTTCGTCTCTCCACCAAAAAAGGCTTTTGGGGGCTCCCAACTCCCAGAATCCCCCAGCCAACTATTCTGGGAGCTGGAGTCTCCCAAAAAGGCTAGCTGGCTGGGGGATACTGGGAAAGGGAGTCCTAAAAGAGACTTCCCGAAGCTCTGCCCCAACCCTCTCCCTTGTAAAGAGCTTTGGAAACCTTCCCCGGAGATGTTATGCCTGCCTCCCGCTTGTAAACTCACCTGCCAAGGCAGCCATTTTGGCTCCTTCAAGCCACCTTCAGAGGAACAGCGGCGTTGGCGAGCCTCCTAAACGCTCCGGGTGGGAACTGCAACCGCCGCGACTTTCGTTCCGGCCTCCAAAGCCTCCTTCGCCCCCTGGCGGCCTCCAAGAGAATAGACCTCCTCTCACTTCTTGTTTGTTGACTGTCTTCGCGTCAATCTTGACCCATGGCGACCCTCTGGATGAGACCTCTCCAAGGAGACCCTCTCTCCTCCCCTGCTCTGCTTCATTCCTGCAATCCCTTCAGACCCATAGAGACCTCCTTCATAGAGTCCCTCCATCTGGCCTGTGGCCTTCCTCTCTTCCTACTTCCCTCCACCTTCCCCAGCATTATTCTTTTCCCTAAAGAGTCCTCCCTTCTCATGATGTGTCCAAAGTACAACAGTCTCAGTTTGGTCATCTTGGCTTCTTCCAGAGAGGTTTCTGGCTTGATCTGCTCTAGGACCCATTTGTTTGTCCTTTTGGGGGCCCATGGGATCCTCGGCACTTTTCTCCAGCCCCACATTCTCTCAAAAGCAATGATTTTCTTCCTATCCTCTTTCTTGACTGTCCAGCTCTCACATCCATCCATGGGAATAGGGAATACGATGGCTTGTATGGGTCTAACTTTTGTGCTGAGTTGTGATTTCTATTTTTTCATTGTCTAGGTTGAACTTGTGAAGGTCCTTGGTTGTCATTATTTTTGGTTTCTTTATGTTCAGTATTAAGCCTGCCTTTGCACTTTCTTCTTTGACTTTCCTTATCAGATGTTCCAGGTCTGTGAGGTTTTTCTGCTAGTATTATGGTGTCATCAGCATATCTTAGATTGTTGATATTCCTTCCTCCTATTTTCACTCCTCCTCCTCCTGTTTCCAAGCCTGCTTTTCTTACAATATGTTCTGCATACAAGTTGAACAGATCGGGTGAAAGGATGTGACCTTGTCTGACCCTTTGCCAATTGGGAACCATTCTGTTTCTCCATCTTGTGTTCTGACAGCAGCCTCTTGTTACTATTATCCAGAAATCCAACAACCTCCAAACAACGATACCTTTATTGGGCCAACCAAAATGCACAATTACAT